CTTCAGTGTATGGTGCATGCGGTGGAGAAGGGTGGTGTGTGGTGCGCTTGTTGTGGCCGTGGTTAGCGCGTCGGACTTCCTCGTGCGGATCCCGGGTTCCTCATGGTTGCCTCATGGGCAACCAGGAGGACATTACCTCCCTGGGCGCTAATATGGCCAATGCACTCGCTGTTGCTCCATAGAATGAGTGTGATGACATGTGACACGATTTCTTTGCAGAAAAGGTACGCATGTTGTCATGGAGAGCTGCGGTGTAGGCGGTGCTGTGTTGAGCAGTTCAGCCTCGGATCCGCATGATTTGTCAAAAGGTGTAATCACTGGTTCGGGCAGGGCGTTGTGGTTGCTGGTGCCGGCGCTGGTGGTCATGCGCGGTGGTGCCGGCTGGTTCGAAGCTCGGTGTGCAGTGGTGCAGCGTTGGTTTTCCTTCGGTTCACCAGAGCGGCGCGGCGCACTGCCGGTGGGCTGGCGCGTCCGCCAGGCCGTGCCGTCACGTCCTGACGGCGCGCGAGCACGTCCACGTCTGCCGCCGCAAGTGGGGCGCGGCGCCGCCGGCCGCCGGCTGCGTCCGTCACACCTGGGCCAGGCTTCTCGTTAGCGCGCGATCGATGGCGGCCGCGCCGGGATCGCCGGCTTCGGTGTCGCCGCGCCCGGCGACGCTGCCGGGGATCGCCGGCTTCGGTGTCGCCGCGCCCGGGATCGCCGGCTTCGGTGTCGCCGCACCCGGCCGCGCCGAGATCGCCGGCTTCGGTGTTGCCGCACCCAGCGACGCTGACGGGGATCGCCGGCTTCGGTGTCGCCGCACCCGGCGACGCTGACGTCTTTCCTTCGACGCCGCTGTCGACGGGTTTCACCTGGCACGACCGGGGCTCGCCGGCGCCCGGCCGGCCCGGACACGTGCCGGCCAGATGCAGGCCACTGCCTGCGAATCGAGTGACGGCAAAGGCCAAACGCCTGGGCCATGTCAGGTCATGCCCGGCGGGCGGAGCGAACTGCGGCAGAGTCGGCGTCTCCAACGGGCCGTGCGTCGTCTGCGCTCGCCTCCCACGCCCTAGCGGGTAGCGCGCTCTCCATATTTCATGGCGCCGTGTCGTGCGGTCGTCAGCGTCGGCGGCGCCTGTCGCCGTGAGGCCGGCCGCACGCGTCGCTGGGCCGCGCGCCGGCAACCCTGCCCGTCATGCCCCGCTCGGGTCCGCGGCCACGCAGCCGACAGCGGATCTGGGCCGGGCCGCCCCACACTGCCCCCGTACCACCCCACACCGCCATCGCACCGCCGCACACCGCCCTCGTACCGCCCCACACCGCCCTCGCACCGCCCCACACCGCCCTCGTACCGCCTCACACCGCCTGCGCACCGCCGCACATCGCCCTCGCGCCGCCCCACACCACCCTCGCACCGCCGCACACCACCTTCGTACCGTCCCACACCGTCCTCGTACCGCCCCACACCGCCATCGTACCGCCCCACACCGCCATCGTACCGCCGCACACCGCCCTCGTACCGTCCCACACCGCCATCGTACCGCCCCACACCGCCCTCGTACCGCCCGGTATCGCCTTCGTACTGCCTCGTACCGTCCCGAACCGCCCTTGCAGTACCCCGCGCCGCCTACGTACCGCGCTCAGATGCCTGGCATGTACCGCTGTAGTGCAGCAGTCGACGCCGTGACCGTGCAGTCGAGGCCCGCCGGCGCGACGCGTGCCACTCCATGGCCGGCGGCAGCAGCTTCCCGTCGCGCGCGCCGCGGCGGCCCGGCCGCAGGAAGCGGCGCCAGCTCTGATTCCGCTTCCGGACTGCAGAGTGGCGCATCCGGCCCGCACGATAGCGGCCGGCCCGCGCGATAGGGGCCGGCCGGCGCGGCGCGGCTGGAGGACGCCGCTGGCGTCGCCGCCGGCCGCGGCGGAGCCCGCTCCCGCCCGTTCCGGGGATAGATCCGCCGGCTGCGACTGCCTCCGGCGGAGCCCGCTCCCGCCCGTTCCGAGGATAGATCCGCCGGCCGCGACTGCCTCCGGCACGCCGGCTCAGGGCGCTGCTGCGACTGCCTCCGGCACGCCGGCTCAGGGCGCTGCTGCGACTGCCTCCGGCACGCCGGCTCAGGGCGCTGCTGCGACTGCCTCCGGCACGCCGGCTCAGGGCGCTGCTGCGACTGCCTCCGGCACGCCGGCTCAGGGCGCTGCTGCGACTGCCTCCGGCACGCCGGCTCAGGGCGCTGCCCACGTGCCCGCGGGGCGCGCACAGACACGCCGCAGCAGGCTGCGTCCTGGGCGTCATCCCAACAGCGGCGCATGGGTGGCTGGGAGGCGCCGCACGCCGCCGCACGTCTCGCCGGGCGTGAGCGGCCGCGCGCGGACCGGCGTCCCGCCGCCTGGTCGGCACGGCCCCCGCTGGGCGTCCCATTAACGTGCCGGCCGCCTCCGGGGTCACCGGAGACGGACCGCGGCCGTCTGCCGCCGCCGCGGCGCGCGGCGCGGAAAACATCGGCCGCGTGACGTCAGAGTCGATTTCGTGTCCGCAGCACGGCCGCCTGTCTGCGTTACAAAGTGTGCCGCCACCGGGCCGTCGTCACGTCGCCCGTGGTCACGCGCGGGGATGGCGAGTGCGGCGAACGGGGGCGGCGGTCTGTGACGCGGGGCGTCCCCACGGGCTGCCGACCCGAGCGGAGGCGGCTCTGGACCGGGGGCTGGTGGTCCGGTCTGGTCAGCCCGGGCGCGCTTACACTGACCACGCCTTCGCCTGCGTCTGCGTATGGTGGTGAAGCTGGCGGCACTAAAAGCTGGTGTGCCATAAAACAGGCGTGACGTCGTTCGTCACGTTTTATTTTTTACAAAAAAGAAGAATACAACCAAACAGACCCGGGCGGAGCTCCCCAGAGAGTGAGAAGGTCCATAGTCGCACCGCCGACGCTCGCTAGGACAGCCGCTGACAGTGAAGCCGGCGGGGATGCCGGCCAGTCGGTCGGCATATTGCTAGCAGTCAGCCCGGCGCCGGTAAAGTTCAGCGCGGAAATTCAGAGGTAGCCTGTCGGTCGGACGAGGCCCATTTCCGGCCGCTAAAGGGCACGCCGCTCCCCGGGGTCGTGCCCGACGAAATGGTCGGCGGCGGCGCGGCTCCGGGCATCATCCATCGCGACTGGCGGCTGCAGCCAGCCGCACAGGACGTGAGGGAACCTCAGGTCACTCCGGAGCACGTGGGAGAGCTGAAGGCACTCGGAAGGAAATTCGGGAGCCGGTGTCGCTATTTGAAGCATCAGAGAGGCTGGTGTTACTCTTAAAACCATCAGTGAGGTTGGTGGCGCTTTTCAAAGCGTCAGGGAAGCTGATGTCTCTGTGCAAAGCGCCAGGGAAGCTGACGTCACTGTGCAAAGCACCAGAGAGGCTAATGTCAGGTCCAGTCAGTCCTTCCTGCTTAAAACGCCAGGGAGGCTTGTGCACTTTGCAAAGCGTCAGGAAGATTGGTGTCATTGCTCAAAGCGCCAGGGAAGCTGGTGCTCTTTGCGAAGCGTCAGGGAGTCTAGTGCGACTCAGTGGGGCTGGTGTCACTTTTAATAGCGCTAGTAGGGCTAGTAGCGAAGGGCGTCATGGAGCTTCAGTGAATCTAGTAGTTAAACGGTAGCTAAACGGTAGTTGAAAGCACGATGCCGGCAAATAAACGAAGCGATTATAAGTGAAAAGACGAGTAGATGAAGCCGAAACCGACAATGTACCATCCGCGAACTGCAGCATTATCTTCGGTGCTGTTTCTCACTGCGGGTCCGCGAAACGTTTCTCCATGTTGTACCTGCCAGCGGTCTGACCACGGGCGGACACTGAGTCCGCACATGACTGTTGCCGGACTCATCCCTGTCCGAACATTCGATAATGCGCCGCTCCAGCCGAACATTGCGCCCCTATGCATTAGACTGAATTCTTCAACTTGTGTGGGTGTATGTATGATGACGCGAAGCTCGCTGCTTCACGCTTACCTCCTCGCCCTCTTTATGGCGGATTCTCTCCACACACAGCTGAACGCTGGTCAGTTGAGGTCCCCCGGGGCAGCTCTGGAGCCAGGCGGTGGACAAGACGATCAGTGGTCCCACCGTCTTAGGGTGGGGGTTTGATCGCGTCCCCGATCATGTCGAAGCTCGGCGGTGTATAGCCCCAGGCTATCATCCAGGCGGACTGCGCTCCGCTGTACAGAATGGGCTATCGAACGACGTATCAAACGGCCATTTTGGGCCATACCTCATGCTGTGTTGACATGATAGGTCGCGCCACTGGGCACAGGTCACTACGAACCTAGTTCAGCAGACGCGTTGATGAAAGCTGGAACCCTCTCACAACAGCTCCAGTGCGCGCGACGTGTGCTGGAGTCGGTTTCTCCGGCGTTGTGGAGCGGGGGGCAGCGCAGTTCGCCACAAACACATTTGAGATTGGCTCCACTCCGCTAGCATGCTTCAGCAGTGTTCCTTCGTGTAGACGGTATCCCCCCCCCCCCCCCCCCCCCCGTCCGTCACTGTTCGCCCCGTCTGACGTCTCCGTCGCCAGTTGGCACCTGTGGCGTTTGATCTGCCGTTTTTGAAGGCGATCCAGCCGTATGACATTATGGTACGGCCTGCCTGGCCGGTAGCGGTGTGTATCCCGCTAACCATCCGCAGCAGACAGCTGATGGAGCCGCCGGCGGGCGGCGGAGGCGTCTGGCGTTGCCGCCCGTGCCGGCCGCCGGCGTCACCGCTGCACGCGGCACGCCGCCCCGTCGTCTGACCCAGTTGCCGCCCTGCCGAGCGGGGCCGGGCCGGGCGGGGTGGGACCGGGCCGGACCGAGCGGGGCCGAGCCGGGCCATACCGAGCGGGGCCGGGCCGGGCGGGGCGGGACTGGGCCGGGCCATACCGAGCGGGGTCGGGCCGGGCCGGGCCCGCTCTGGTATGGCCCGGCTGGGCTGGACGGGACGGGACGGGACGGGTCTGCTGAGAGCGTCACGTCCGTCATCACGTCCGTGTCTGACCGCTGGCCATGTGTTTTACAGTCGGAGCCGTCGGGTGACGGCGAGAGCCATGGCGGCGGCGCCACCACCGAGATCGAGCTCATGGAGGTGACGCGCGAGGGCCTGGAGAAGGCCGACCCCAGCCACTTCGAGCTGCTCAAGGTCCTCGGCCAGGGCTCGTTCGGAAAGGTCAGCTGGCGGCCGCGGCTTGGACGGCCTGCCGAGTGGCGTGCGTCAGCGCGCCCCGGTGAAGCGCCGAAACGAGCCCTTTGAACCGTCTCGTAGCATGCCGCTGGGGCGCTGATTATTATGCACCGTGGTACGCCATGGGTGGTGTGGTATGGAACTGAGCGACTCGGTGACGCTTTGGGATGAATCTGCCTCTGATGGATACATGGAACGATATCCGTGCTGCTCTTCACATTTGCATCGCGTATTTGAACAGGCAATGGGATTTCGCACTTCAGCGGATCTGTGTCTCTGGAGAGCTGTAATTGTCGGAACAGTCCTTCAGATGTCATTGAAGTGGGAGAAGCCACCGAGTTACTACCCAGCTGACCCGACTGTGTGCAATCAGTAAACCGTCAGTGCTACTTAATTTCGGGATTTGAGTCTTGAGATTGAGAGGCGTACAGACCAAGCCGTCCCATTTCCCCCTGTACGCTTATTGTTAACGTGCTTGAAGGGTTGGAGTCGTCCAAAACTCCGCTAGAGGATCTGCTTAGAATTATTTGTGAAATCTGCTATGGGGTCACTTTGTATCTCTCTGCACCTTCCCAGCTATTTTCGTGGCTTTTCACCCGTTTTTGTGAGTCTTGCTGTCAGCGCGGCTTAGTACGGAGCCTGTACAACACATAAATCATAGTGTGGAGTAAGAACATAGCGAGCTTAGACCACCATTTGAACCAGCATGTGACGTTCGCTCTGCGTTGGCTGAGGACCACGAAGCTGCAGGTAAGGATCGTAATGTTCTCCGGATGCGTGCGGCTCCACTCGTGCTCCTCGCCCCGTATACCTGGCATTACAT